CGCACACTGTGCACTACACTGGAAAGGCGCATTACAAAATGACCAGAAAAGAAAAGGATTATTTTCTTTCATGAAAAAAAAAATGTGTATTGCAGTTTGGGATGCATATATGCCTGTGGTGAACTTCGCATTAGTTTTATGAACAATGTGATAGGAATTATCAATTGCCAGACGCAAGGTGTTAAAAACAACATGCAATGTTCTATAAATAATGTCATATTAGAAAGATATAACTATGGCTATCCCTGACTAGACCCTCATTTGTGCTAGCATTATATAAAGGTAAATCATTGCTTGTAAGGCAGGTATGGTCAATATTAAAGTTCCCCTCCAGTCAGAAACCAGTGTTTCTTCTGGTTCCTACAGTGTGCTGTTGGAATGATGTGTGTGCAGAGTTTGATACTAGGAGGATGTTTTCACATCCATCTGCTGAAAGTGGAAAGTTTCTCTGTGCTCACTGGAAAGCTTAGTGAAAGATTAGTGACATCACAAAGCCAAGAAAGTTTGTTGATTGTTGAGTCTCATTCCCAGGTCGTTAAATATCAACCCTGGGAATAAAACTCAACAATCAACTATCTTCAAGCCACCAGCCCAAAGCATCTGTCCATCTTTCTTGGCTCTGACTGGTTGTTCTTGTTCAGAGTTCATTTGAGATTTATAGACCACAGGTGTGTAAATTACAAATGGGCTTATTAGAACCTGTTCAAGCTAAAAAAAATGTCGCTTAGTATCTTTTATGAATCGAACGGAAGGACGACATCGGAGATGATGCTGAAGTTCAAATCTAAAAACAGTTTTAGAAAAGAGGGGTCTGCTCACAAACATAAATATCAGTCACATCAAGAATGAAAAGTAGGATGTAGTCAGGATTACATGAGCAGAGACTCAAAACAAATGTCAACAAATCCTAGACACATCCAACAGCCCTGGAAATGTCCGAATCCATTGGTTACACAAGAGAGGCCACTGCTACAATCTATTGTTAGCACACAGCGTCCTAAGTGCACAGTGGACATGTGTCAGGAACTGGACGAGAGGAGCTGACACAAACACGAACTACACCTGCGTGCGTGCGTGCGTGCGTGCGCGCCCTGGCGGTGGTGGTGCAATGCAATGCCAAACCCCCACCGACACAGCAGCACAGCCATGGCTGTATTACAGCACGGAATGTGTCTGTGCTCCTGAAGCTAGCTCTGTAACGCCACAGCACAACTCCAACAGCTCTGTCTACAGCTCATAGCACTGACCGCCGCTCACATTACCTCTGTGGCTACACGGACACACGCTGCCAACGGTGAATTCGCCTTTAGCCGCTGCCTGTGTGACAGTGTGCCAAACAATAGCCATGTTATCATGACTGGAAATGAAGGAAAAAAACAGGTCATGCGTATCGTCAGCGGCTTCAGTAACGTTTCGGTCGTTGTGGTTCAGGCAGGCGGTCAGGTTAGCGTCACAACCGAGCTAGCAAGCCGTCCTTACCTGGATATCCAGCTCCAGAAAACAAAGGATGCTGCTGCGGTTTCTCTCCGTTAGGTCGGTGCGTCTGTTCGGCCTGACAGCATCCTGTTCCCAGCCAGCAGCGCCGCTGTCACACTGCACGGCGGTAACACCGGCGATTCCGGTCACAACTTTCACAATAAGAGTTTGGTCTAAAAGGAACATTTAGCACAGTGGTTGCCAAGCCTTAAGAAACCCTTTTATATTAACGACCCCTGACTAAGTGACATATTTTATAGATATTTCATATTATATTTAATACATACAAAACAACTGATACTGATACTGTAATAAACCCAAATTAGAGAATGAAAAAACTAGGAAGTTTGTGTACTTTTTTTTTCATTATTTCCTGTGAATACAGCATTAGAGATGAGTTTTTCTGATATTTTTAGGATTTCTTTATACAATTATTCACAATCCTCAATCTGTATTATATTATATTATTATGTTTATTTTTTAACAATCATACTTCATCAATCAGGCTTCTTTTTCTGACAAATTCAGTGTTTTCTTTTCCTGATACTTGGCCATTGTTCTAATGCAGGATGAGGCTGTTTATCAGAGAGGGAAGGCTCTGTGAATATAGCTTGTGAATATAGTATAGTGAATAAAACAGATTGGTAAACAGGAATAGAAGCTTTCCAGTTATATATTTAATGTCCTCATACTTTTATTTTGAAGTTTGAAATCTCATCTTTTCCGCGTATTATTTTACTAAGGCTGGCCACCTTGATGCAGCTGCCAGCAGCTTAGTCTCTGCAATGAGACAGATAGATGCAGCTGAACGGGAGAGCAGACTGGGCCTGACTGCTCCTTCACTACATTTCACATCCACTGTTAGCCATTACACTATGATATGTAGCCTTTCTATGTGATCTCCGTAAGCATGTCCCTATGACTCCTTGTATTTCTTGTAATAAATTGAGTATATCTAATTGTTAGCCAGTCAGTTCTCCCCTATGAATGTGAATGGAGTGGTCCGTCCATTAAAGGGCCAGTTTGCCAGACAGACCACATTGACAGCTTCCCATTTATCACAGCAAACCAGGGCACATCTGATTGCTGGCTGATAGACACCTAACACATGAAACCTCTTTTTTTTACTTTTAAGGCCACAGTAGGTAACTTTCATAAAAATAACTTTT